GACTTAGAAACACAAGCGACCGTCATCGACGCTTTATTCAGTTAATCCTTTTCTCAAGACTCTTTTTAAGATTAAGGTTCTTAGGTCAATAAGGCCAATATTCTAATTTATTCCTGTAACTCAGTACTTTCACTGGAAACCAGACTCAAACCAGTTTTCATAATTAATTCTACAATTATGCTAATTTCTTCTATAAATATAGGTTAGTTTCAGATAGAGGGATATATAGATTGTTAGTCGTGAAACAGTCTTGCAACTACTAGGACTTGTGAGCGTCAATAAATATCCCGTGGAAACTCTAACCATAGTCTCCCCGACTTCACGACATTTRTGAGAACTTATTAGCGTTACTTCTGTCAGTCATGCGAAACTCTTTCAAACTGTAAATATGTACTGGAAATATGTCGGATGAATGACAGATGCCCTGGTCTTATTTTTAAGTATTCTCTTAAGTACGGTGATAAATAGATGCAGGTCCATGGACTAAACTTCCCTCATCACCGAGGTCGCTCGATAACCATCTCCCGATATCCCGCGACTCCCTCGTTCATATATCACGAAATCGAAAATTGGGGGTGTGGACTGGAAGTCCAACGACCGCTTGTAGGCCGCCGAACTACCGGAACACATATATTTTGTTTGCGATTTAGAAGTTTAGAAGTTTAGAGTAATACGCAAATCTGCTAGGCGCAGGTGGAAGTACAATGCGAGCCTCGCTGCCCCCTTTCTCAGCCGTCTGTTTTTACCGCGTGACTCTAAGGCTGTCACGGCACTCCCTAGCAGRATTTGTTTTGTAATTTTGAGAACTCGTGACATAGGGTTCGTAGGAAACGACCTCGCTATSATCGCGAGGGAGCTGGAGCACATCACCCACTTAATGCACTCACAGCCCCGATACTATGGAGTCATMTAACATATTTATATGAGGAAAAGAGAATGTGCATTAGACGTGTGGGATTCTCTTCATGGGTGAACATGCGCAATATTGGTAGTACTTACGTCATGAAAGTTTAATCAAGACTTGATTGGCTTAAAMTGGGAGAAAAATGAATGTAAATCTCCGCGTTATGTGAGTCAAACCAAGACTAAATAATGCTTTAATTCGACGGACAAACACATTAGATATCGCTAGGAGTGCTTTTCTCCTACATCGCTATCCTTTTTTAAATCGAGATTTGTCTTGAATGGTAAAAGGGAATTTTTTATCGTCAGATGCGATACACGGATCATATAAAGATTATACTTCATAAGAAAATGAATATAACAATAATAAATGTTTTTTAGTGTTAAATATAAATGGTGGTGCACTTTCATTCCCGCATCGATCGAAAGTTAAACCAAGTCCAAGAATTTAAATCACAACAACTTACAAGCGATTCATAAATTACATCAAGTATTTGATATGCGATTCCAATTCACAAAAATTGTAAAATGCAGTTAGTTTAGACTGTGGTATACTAAATATCATTTTGACGACAATGTAATGTAATTATTATTTTTTTTCGAGACAAAACCTAAAATTAAATAATGACGAAATTTTCAACGACAACGAATACTGAAAATTGTGTATTTGTAGTCGTAGAATCTTTTTATGAATTTAAAAAAAACCGTTAAAATCGGCAATAAAAAGTTTTATTTAAAAACTTTTTATAAAGACTGAGCTGTTCATTTTTTAGTCGTCCGTGACGACCTTCAGTAAGATGTAAGGTTCGAGTTTGAATATTAATGAGGGRGTTTCCCAGACTCTGTTGGAGGCTCGCCATATTTGGTCTTCAAACCATATTTGGTCTTCCTCTTTCGATCATGGAACAAAAACAAACTTTTGGAATAATTTAGATAGTAAAAGATCAAGAAAAGCGATAAAAATCACGAATGTAAGGTGGTGGAACTTGTGCACTTAATTTGTCTATAAAAATATGGTTTTTGGAAACTGAAAATTAAAAATGTCAGCCCTAGGTTGGAAGTCGGGAAAAGAGCCTGGGTCAAAGTGTGTTTCTATGGCAACAGTAAGTAATGTTAGTCTGATTTGGTTTACATTTCTCATCGAATTCATGTAACATGTTTAAACAACTTTACTGGCCAAAATAAAATAATTTCATTGTGTGAAAATCGACTTGAAGAAAGTGGAAAGAAAAGGTTATGTCATGCCTCATGCATCATCACCATGCACCGCACCGTGCACCATGCATCATGCACCATGAACCATGCACCATGCATCATGCATCATGCACCATGCACCATGCATCATGCACCATGCATCATGCATCATGCATCATGCACCATGCATCATGCACCATGCATCATGCATCATGCATCATGAAGTGACAACAAAAATTGGGGGTGTGGATTGGAAGTCCATCAACCGCTCACAGGCTGTCGAACTACCAACTCACTTTGCTTTTGCCTTTCGGTTTTACGATCCCAATAGGTGTGAGTAGAAGTACAATGCGAGCCTAGCTGCCCCCTTCCTCAGATGCCTATTTGACCACGTGGCTCAAAGGCTGTCATGGCACTCCCCACCAGGATCGAAGAGTTTTGGTTGTTTTGTTTTGTTTCGCTCGTGGTCATAGAGGAGAGAGGTCTGGGACCAATCTCCCCTATCGTCACGAGGGGATCAAGAACGCACCACCCACTTAGTGCGCTCCGCGATCCCAATACTATCTAGGAATGGCTCAATATTTATATAATTAAAATAAAGCTCAATAAAACATGTGGGATTCCCTGTTGGTAGACATGCGCAGTAAGATATAAAAGTGGTCCTWAGAAAAAGCAAGACCTAGGATAGCTCAAAGACTAGAATCTTGTCATAGGAAGARAAATGTTCAGGCAGAATGTGATGTTAGTAGCTTCATTCAAGTTCGCGAGCAGTGAGTGATTTCTTTCTTGATGTGAGATTCGAGTGGTACAATCAGAGTTCCATAAGACCCTGGCTAAACGAGGAAACATGTTTCCCTAAATGTTTCCTAAGGTGGCAAAACTGTCAGGAAACATCGAGAAACAATGTTTCCATGCGTCTTGGAAACATGAAATGTTTCTGCCGCACAGCAAAAACATCTTTTGCGTCTTGGAAGCAAAATTTGTTGCACGCAGCAATGTTTCGCATGTGCTGGCTAAACTGGGAAACATCGAGGAAACATGCGCGCGGTAAACATGTTTCTGGAAACATGTTTCCTCGTTTAGCCAGGGCCTAAGATCAACTACAACAGCCAATCAAGTCTGTATTTTATCGCTTTTAATTTCGCAATCGATGTTAAAGCTTGAATTTACTTTATGAGAAAAACTATAGTGACATAAAGTTTGACGTTTGACGTTTGGATGATATCTTGTCATTGCATCATCATCAAGTAAAGTGAAAAGAGTGATCATGGATGTAAACTAGTCGTGAATTGACAAAAAGTAAAAGCGAAAGAGGGATTTAGGAAAATAAGTATTAAAATAATTCTAGGCACGGTTTTAGCATCAGATATAAAAATGTAATCACATATCGAGCTACTGTAGTAGAAAGTCTTTTAGTTCATTTCCAGCATATAACCTTGAAATCGATGATCGTCAGTATTAAAAAGATTGATGCTCATCTTACAGTGCTGAGTATGGAAAATGGAATATTCGGCGTGAGCAAAAGGGCCTCTAGGTCGAAGATTTGTACTAAATATTAGATTGAATATTAACTAAATGATCTGATTAACCATAGCATTAGGTTTATTTATTTTGTCYGGTTGACTGGTAATTAGCATAACTGATCAAGACGTGTGACGACCTTTGGGTACATTATTCAACTCTGAATTTATAAAAAGGGGTTTCCCCTAGACGTTTGCCTCAACTGCCCCCTTAATTTGATTAGATACCAGTATTAATTTGACTATTGGTTGTGCGCGATTTTTCACTAGCCTCATGTACCTCTCAAGAATATTGATCATAAAACTAACAAATGGAACAAGCGACTGTTTTCCCATTTCATGAAATCAGACCTATAGTCATTCCCTTGAAAATAATATTCCAGAGATTCTGTTAATTTCGTTCATGTTACCCTATCCAATGCTCTATGCAGCAATAAATGTATCTATAGATATTAAGAGAGTACTATGTAATGTCAAGATGAGGTGAAACATGACGAAACATGTTTTGTAAGCATACGATACAATGAGGGATCTCTGGACTGTCGGCTCGTTTATCTGTCGT